GTAGGGGAAGAACAAAAAGGGAAAAGAAAAAAATGTGTGAGAATGAAAAGATGAAAATAAAGTGTTTGTAGATGGGGAGGGGAGGAGGGGGTGAAGGGAGGGCAGAGGTAAGGGGAAAAAATGAGAATCAAGACTTGCCATGTAAAGGTACATGATCCCAACAATGAATGTAACTGTACTGTATCCCTAAAATGTACCAATAAACTCAATAAAATTAAAAAAAGTAATAATCTGCACATATCAGAAATCACAAGAAAAAATTAGTCCTTCCATCAGCCAAATGGAGAACAAGTAGCAGCACCTTAGAAAGTCTCAGGGATCAGCCCTAACTTCTTCCTACTGACCCTGAAGCTCAGAAAAAAAAAACACTGACTCGAGGTCATATCCTAAGCCAGAACCCAAGCTTCCTTCCACTGAGCCAAAGCTGAAACTTGACCCGTGAAGCCATATACAGTATACAAGTAGCCCCTGACGAAGACTGTGCCTGTTTCACTAGAAAGAGGAGAGCGATATCTAGTAACAGGATAAAAACACCACACGCTCTGGCCCACCACAAGGAAAGTCAGGGATGCCAGACAGCCCAGGGTAGCCCTGCAGCCCATCTCTGAGCCCCGCCTGATTTCCCACCCTACCACTGACTACCAGAATAGCGATGGAATCTGGGAGTCGCACCACCAAGGCGAGGCGAGGCCTACCCCCTTCTCCAGCCCCCATTCCCTCCCTAACCCTGTCCCACTTTCCACCAGAGAGCACAGCAGGGAAGGGCAGACAAGGAATTCACAAGCAGCACCTACTCGGAAGCCATGAACAAAGCCTGCAGGATGCTGTTCACATAGCACGTGTTGCCCAAGTTGATTAAACCAATCTTGCCAGTGTCTGACTTGGCCATAAGCCGAGGGTAGAAGCCAGCCAGCTCACTCTTCTGTGAGGTCCAGGCATCCTGCCCCAGCAGCTGCTTGATGCGGTCCTCATTGGGAACGTGGAGGTCCTGAGGAAGGCAAGAGCAGACAAGACAATGGGTACCAGGGCCAACTCGAAAAGTATCACCTCCTCTGAGAGGCCTTCCTAGAGCCCACTCAACAGCCTCCCAAGCACACACCAGGCAGAAGCGTCCCCGAGAGGTGTGGGGACAGTCCCTGCTTACAACTCGTGCAGGTTCTCATTTTGATATGTGGGACTTCTACATGATCTTTCAGGTGGCAACTGCCTCAGGGGGCACAATCCCCAACGCAGCGATGAAATAACTAGATTCAGAGAGAAAACAACTGTCCAGGGTCACACAGGCAGTAAGTGAAGAAGTATATGCTCCTAGCACAGCCCAGAGATGACAACTCTGGCCAAATCCAGCTGTAACTAGCCCTCATCCACGTCCAGCTATGGACAGGGAGCCTCTCTGCCCCACCCACCTGACCTTCCTGGTGCTCAGTTTCCTCATCTGTCAAGGGAGGACCCCTTATACCACTCTGGCGTCCTATACATTTATGAGGCTTGCACACAGTGGCATTCCCACTCGCCTTCCTTCTAGACTTGCAGGGTCCACTTGCTCCTACAGTTGGGTGGAAGGAGGATCCTGGGATTCTAAGGAGTGTGCCTTGGTCACAAGCTCAGGGATTAGCATACTTCCCCACTCACATTAAATACCTACTCTTAAATGATTACCAAGCACCAGTTCTAACAACATATTGTCAAGAGTCACCTAACCACAAGAAGTGCTACGTAGCACACTTCGGCAACGTCCCCAGCAGCCCCTCCAGCGGTAGCATACTGCCAGCTCCAGGCACAATGACGTGCCCAAGGTCCACAGGACACAGCCCCACTAGCTTAGCACCCAAACCCTGTCCCCAGCACATGTCCTCTGGCTCCTGCAGGGCTTGCTCAAGCCCCGGTTTATCACTTGTGCCACTTGGCTCCCAGGATCACTTACCAGATAACTGACTGGACTACTCATCTCTCACAGATAATTTTAAAACATTGATACAAAAAAGAAAGAAAAAAAAACAAAAAACACCTGAGACCAGGGGAAAATGTAAATACAAGCTCAGTGTTCTCTTTCTGCTTTCTATCGTGCCCTATCTAATAGCCCCACACAGCAAAAACCAGGACAAAAGGCAGGCAGGACTACACATGGACACATGCACAAAGAAGACACAAACACATCCATGCTGGAGAAAACATCAAATAATATTTCTCCCAGAGAAGGGAACACTGTACCCTTAGAACATAAAACAAAACCAGCCGGGTGTGATGGCACACACCTGTAATCCCAACACATGGGAGGCTAAGGCAGGAGGATCGCTGTGAGTTCGAGACCAGCCTGGGCTACATAGTGAGTTCCAGATCAGTCTCGAATACATAATGAGACCCTGTCTCAAAAAACAAAAACAAAAACAACAAAAAACAACAACAAAAAGAACACAAAAACCATCTACATAATTCTCAAACCTCTATTGTTACTGGAAATGTGGATACGGTAACTCCCTCAGCAAGGATCACAGCTCTCAGAAAAACTGTCATGACTCAGTACACCTGAGAGAACTTTCCAGAAATGATTCACAAAGGAATAGAGATACACAGAAGGGTGCACACATATGATGCATGTGAAAAAAACTTACAGACTATACTATTGTCTGCTGCCTTGCCTCTCAGATTGGCTTGTCCCAATGAGTATTCAAGGCCACAGGATAAATGTAACCCATTTTCCTAGCACTAATATTCAAGGAAGAAATGTATCTTCGTATCGAAACAAATGTTTGTAATGATGAAATATACACTTGGTACTTAGAGGCTGTAGAGAAACTCTGAGCTCAATCCAGAGTGCTTTGGGTAACTCTCCCTCATCTGACACCAGGTCCCATGGTAGAAACATTTGAGAGGCCCAAAACCACTGGATTTAGCAGAGATTAAGCCTAAGTTTCAAGGCTCCGCCGACATGTGACCACCAAACTGGACTGGCACACTCCCACACCTGGGCCTTGCCCTATGACTCATCGGGCACCATGGCCTGACACTGACACACTCTCTACGAGGCTTTTGAGGTGGCTTCCCAGTGCATCCCTGAGCCATCTGTCCCTGCTCCCTGTGATCAACTGCATACCTGCCTTAGCCCCGGACCAGAACACCAGGCCCAGCATGCAAAGCCTGGTTCTCTGTCATCTCAGGTTTCCCCCTCTTGTTCACTGCAACACAAGGTGATCTTCACACTACGGCTGTGTTGTAATGATATGCTGCTCAGTCACTACGTACAGAAGACAGACTTATCGAAACAACACAGCCCCTGCCCTCCAGAAGCTCACAAATGAACAAGAAACAGTAATGGCCCCAGAAGCTCACCATAGCCCTGACAAGGGGGAGTCCTGGCCCCTCCACCTGACTACCACAGGGAGCTCAGGCCTGTCGAGACAGCCCCCTACCACTGAAGTTAGCCCGAAGAAAACACTTTCCCACATTATGTCTGAAAAATAGGAGAGCCAAGGAATACCCAAAGGTTTGGTTTGTTGTATTTACTCAGTCCTGGTGACTCTGTGTTTTGTAATTTTGAGATTACCAACTCATCTTCAGTAGAACTTTATGGCTTGATTTATTTGCATCTACTAGGCAACTGCTGGGTATTACAAGTTTATGAACACTTTTAATGTCAACATCTAAACTTGGGGTGGTGGGGTACAACTCCCAAAGTAATCTGAATTTGAATTCTTAAAACTACGTGAGAGCCGGGAATTTAGCTCAGTGGTTCCACCACATGCCTTGCAAGCACAAAGTCCTGAGTTCAATCTCTGATCCTAAAAAAAAAACAAAAACTACATGAGAAAAAATTCTTTTTCCCCTTCATCCAGGTCCCAGACTAAGCTAGAAAGGTGGCTCTGATCTCTAGTTTGGACCACAGGGATTTTTTCCAGGTTGTTCTTTAACTAATAGTAAAGCCTTGTCTTGGCTTTCAGCAGGCTCCAAAGTGCCAACTCCCTACCAGGGGCAGGCCCTTACCCTCATCTACTGTCGCCACCAGCTCAAAGCCCCTTGGTGACTGAGGCTTGGTCACCTCACCTACCCTCCCACCCAAGGCAAAAGAACATCATTTCTCACTTACCATTTTGGAAATCAGTTTTCTCCTCCGTTTTGGTTGATCCCTGGGGATTCTCCCTTACTTCCTTGAAAGCTCAGCTATGTACTTTAAAAGATTTCCAGATGATGATTAAGATGCTAATAAAAAAAATGGTGCCAGGTACCACAACAGCAACTTTGCTGTTTTCTGGATATTATTCTTTGGTTTTTTGTTTTGTTTTGTTTTGTTTTAAGGGAATGTGCTGAATGTCTATAATTTTCTTCAGATGACTGCAGAACCTGGAAAAGCTGTTGCTGATATCAATGCATAACATACTGCTATTATTAGTCTTTTTATATCAATATAAATATGTATATACACATATATATAAATTGAATTTTGGGAAACTTTAACGGTGCTGCCAACTTTGGAAAAAGTCATCCCAATTTACTGTGTTGACTTGGCATTGTACAGAAATGGACAGCTATATTGGTCTAGAAATGTTAATTTTTTTTCCATGTGTACAGGGGTAACACATCGTACTAAATATGTAAGGTCATATCTACGTGGGCTTGATTACAGAAACTAATAAAGTATACTCTAAACAATGAAAAAAAGAATAAGACTATAAGAGCAAGAAGCAATTTAAATATGTTCAGGGACCATTTTCATCTTCAGAATTAAGGATTATTTTAATGTTACATCATGGCCTTTTCTCTTTTACTTTCCTTTTTAGTTTTATTTTAGGATTCCCTATTTTTAATGTTCATACAGAGATTTCTTGAACTGAAATACCGAATAGTTTCTTTGGTGTGAAAAACTATAATAGTACACAGGATCCTAATGAGATAATTAATAATGTGAAATAGGAAGTAAGGGCTAAAGGTGTAGGGAAAGTGGGAAGGATGGGGGAAAGGTAATAAGGGAGAGGACAAAAATATGAGAAATTGAAAAATGGAAATAAAGTGTTTGTAAATGGGGAGGGGAGGAGGGGGTGAAGGGAGGAGAGGGACAAGGGGAAAAAATGAGAATCAAGACCTATTATGTAAAGGTACAGAATCCCAATGATGAATCAAACTGTATTGTATACCTAGATTGTACCAATAAACTCAATAAAAAGGAAAAAACAATTTTTGGTTGAATGTGAAATTAAAAAAAAATGTTTGTTTTATTTCAATAAGCATTTCTAGATGTTTTGCAGTGGGACACTTTCTAGAGTGTCTAGTTAGCGGTGCTTCAGTAATGAAAGTCAAATCGGTTTCCAAAAAACCACCCACCTAGCCCCTCACACAGGCCTGCCATCCATACTGGGCCGTGGGCAAGCCACAGCAAGCCAGGGCCCTGGCTAGGTCTCACTACCTTCCAAGCAGGTCACCAAACCTCTCCAAGCCTCACCTTCCTCGATGAAACTGAAATAATCCTATCTGCTTCATGGGCTACCTGCAAGCATCAGACGACAAAATACATGGGAGAACACTGTCAGATGCAGCATTATCTGTGTTAGCCACGGTCAGACCCCAGGGCCCTAGCAAGCCATCTTGGAAATCCTTTCTTTCTTGTAGCCCCCTTCTCCAACTGTAGAAGCTGTTTCTTTCCTCAGCTCCTCTCTGCTCTCGGCCCAAGCCCTGGAGGCATCACCATGAGCTGCGTACATCAGACTTTCTTGTATGTGAGCTGCAGGCTCCTTTCAGACTCACTTTGCTTCACACACGTGACCCCTGTCCTGGGCTCAGCACAGAGTAGAGCATCGACACAGCCATATGAACAAGTGTAACTAATTCCACTCTGGGTGCTCACAGTCTAACGGGGAGGGACCAAAAGATGCACCAGGGCTGTGGGAGCCCAGGGGACCTGACCCAGCCTGGAGGATGGAGCAGGGTATTGAGTTATCAAGGAAGGCTTCCTGGGAGAGGCAAGCAGCAGCAGAAACATGAAGCGTGTGTGACAGCCATGAGCAGAACGGGAAGGGTCTCTCATCGGTGGGAACAGCGGGTGTAAGGGCTCTGCATTCATGACAGAGGACAACCCATCTGGGACACGGTGAGGACCCAGGGGGCCTGAGGCACACCATGGCCCTGGAGAGGTGGCAGAATCCAGTCCGGGAGAAAACAACAGGAGGCTGTCTCCAAGCTATGGTATAGCCTTGAGGAAGGCCCAAACTGGTACCTTCATCAGAGCAGGGTCAGGGACAAGGAGGGAACTGTCACTCACCTTGACGGCCTCCATGACAGGCTCGTATAGGTCTGGGAAGCCTGGGAACCGGAACACCATGCAGTGGACCAGCTCTGCCAGCTGCTCCAGGCAGCTGGCCCCTGAGTTCGAGTCTTCCTTGATCAGTGAGGTCACCATGGGGGGGATGTGAGGGAGGAGCTGTAGGTGCAGAGCGGGGTTAGGCCAAGTACCACCCACCCAGGCCTAACCCGTGTGGGGCTGAGCCGCAGGCAGGTGATTCCTTATACAAGACATACAATCTAAGGCTCCCTGCCTCAGTTTCTTCTTGTGTAGAACAGGATAAATATCCTCCTCTGAGTTCAGGGAAGGCCTGGGCCTAAGCCCAGCTGTTTAGCCTCAGCCCACTGACCAGCCCTAAGAGCCTGAAAGCTGAATGGCCAGGGCGACCGTGCCAAGCAGGAGTGACACTGGGGCCATGACACAGCCAACTATGTGGGCCCTGACCAGCATTTCTGTGTCAAGCACTTCATCTTTGCAATGACCTGATTCAGCAGTAATTACCCGCATTCTACGGATGAAGACACTAAAAAAGATTGTGTGTGTGTGTGTGTGTGTGTGTGTGTGTGTGTGTATCCTCCAAGTGTAAGGGATCAAATGAATCCAGGGCCTCATGCAGGCTAGGCAAACACTCTACCATGGGACAAAGGCCTCAGCTTGAGAGGGTATATAATTTGTCCAAATTGCACTGTGAGTTACAGAAGCTGGTATCTGAACCAGGTCCTAGTCCCTTCTGCGCAGTTTCAATTTCAGACCCTTTGGGGTGCTGTATCAATGATGTCACAATGGACAATCAGGCCACAGGCACAAGATGCCAACGAGAATGATGGATGGAAACGAGTGCATATCAAGCCCAATCAATACGTGGCAGGCTCTAGGCAAATACCACCTGCCTACCCCCTCCCACTGTCCCAAGGTCGTCCCTGCGCCAGGCTCTCTGAGAGGTTCAATGCTTAGCCCAAGGTCAAAACATCAGCCAAACGGCAGTGCTAAATTCAACTCAAAGCACCCCAATCTCAGCTTCTGCTGTTTTTTCCACTGTAACCAACTAGGAAGTATGACGCTCTGCTCCCCTGACCCAGTGCCAACAGAGTTTAGGGCCCCATGTGGCTGGTGGCAGAGGATGGTCAGGTGAGAAAGACAGCCCCCTTTCCAAGGGAGGGCCTGATCTAGAGGCCAAACCACCAGGGTGCTGGTGGGCAACAGAGTACAGGAAGAACAGTGGGCTTAGAGTTGGACAAATGGCTTGAATCTTCCCTGTTCCACTCACTGGCTGTGTCTGGCACAAGCAGCTTAACCTCCCCAAACTGCAGCTTCTTCATCTGAAGAAGGAAGGTTCTGTTCTGGCAGGGCCTCTGTCTGGGACTTAGATGCCTGAACATATGTACTAACCTTAGCACTGTGCCTGCTACAGAGAGGCCCCAAGGAATGCTAGCTATCCTCACCCTAGGCTCTGTTAATCATGCACCCAGGGGAAGGTAAATTCCCTGGCCTCAGTTTTCTTTCTGTACAGCAGAGTCTCAGACCTCCTGCAGTACTAATATCCAGGCTCTGAGGTCTTGAGCTTCAACCTCCAACCCCTCAGCCTCCAACAGGGAAAGCATACTGCCTCTCAGGCCATGGGGGGTGTGGAGCCGCCATTGCTGGGGCAGTGGGCAATGCTCTTACCAGGTGGAAGGCCTCGTGGGAATGCTGGAAAGTCAGCAGCATATACTTGAGGACAGACAAAGCAGCTCCCCGAACGATGGGGTACAGCAGCTTGGAGAAGACCTAGAAGAGAGTCCCTGGTCAGGAGCCCCCAGAGCTGGGCCACCTGAGGCCAAGGGAAACCCTAAGGAGGGGTCTGAGACAGAAGAGTTGAAGCAGGAGAGTCATAAAGGAGCCAGAACACAGAGATGCTCACAGACGTGAATAGACAGAGAGATGGCAAAATGGGTGGCAAGAGAGTTAGATACTTAATGGAGAGACGGACAGACAGAGACAAAGACACACTTAATTGAAAGGAGGGCTCAGAGGAATGATGGATGGGAGCCTGAGGCTCAGAGAGAGGCAGTAAAGTAGCCAGGTCATGCACAGAACTTGAGTGGGAGCCCTGTACTCTGACTCCCACACCAGCCGTGCCCTAGCAAGAGACCGGTGGGAAAGGCCACAGGCCTGAGTTGGATCAGGGCCCACCAACCTTCTCAATTTTCGCGAGTGAAACCTCGATCAAGATGCTGAACTTCTTAACAGCAGCCAGGCCCTTCAACAGTGCAATGATCCACTTGTCAATGTTCTTCCCCAGGGGCCAGGACACCCAGTCAATCATCCTGGGGAAGGGAGCGACAGTGACACAGGGACCGGGGAGGCCCAAGTGCCCGGGTGAGTGCAGCGCAGAGACAAGCCACTGCGTCCTTGATTCCTACACTGACTCACACCTGCCCAGACAGCGCTGGGGTCAGTGGGATAAACGAGACACTACCCCAAAATGTAAATGAGCCTGGCCTAGACACGGTCCAGAGGCTCAGGCCCTCGGCCCACAGGAAGAGGAGCCAGGTCCTCTCAGCACCTACACCTCACACCTCCACCCGGGCTGCAGTGCAGAATGGGACTTCCAGGTGGCTCCTCCAGGAAACCTGGAAGAACACCACCTCTGGGGCTGCGAGCTCTGGTTCCAGTGAGCCCAGGCCATGTGATCTGGACCAAAGCACTGCCCCTCTCTGAGCCTGTAACGGTGGACAGTCTCATTCCCAGGGCTGTCATCCTCGGTAAAAGGAAGAGCAAGCCAATGCCATGGAGTATTCACCTGCACTGGGCGTTGCTCTAGCACATCTCAGCCCCACAACACAAGCCCTGTTGTTATTTTAACGACCATCGTTGTTATTTTATACTGAGACTGTGCTATTAACAATGAGAGAGCAAAGTAACAACCATGGAAAAAATCCCTTCCAGCACTGCTCTAGGTACTTGACATGCTGTTTTGTATCTAATCTTTACAGCAGCCCTATAGGATGGGCTTCATTATATACTACTTTACAGCTGAGGAAATGGAAAGGTTGAATAAATTGTGCAAAGTCATACAGGCAAGAAGAAGTAGCAGCAGGATTTGATCTTGGGCAACTCACCTCCAGAGCCCACACCATTACCCACTAAAGACAAGGAATCCAGGAAAGTCCTGCATAGCTGGTGGATCTGCATGTGGGCATGGAAGGAATGGCAGGGAGGCCCCACCAGGCGAGTGGGGTACACTCAGGCACAGGCCCGCAGGGAGGAGGGCAGGAAGCATATTCTGGGGTCACCAACAGGCAGGTTAGGCTCAGAACAAGTATGAAGACACTCAAGAGCAAAGATGTACAACAGCTCTGTGAGCTGAAAAGCACCCTAATTCTGTTTATGGGAGCTGTCAAACTCAGAAAGCACTTTGTAAAGTACTTTCCCCTTCTTATAGGGCCCCCTGGAAGCCTGGAAACACCCAACCACCCCCACTGTTACCAAGGGGGAAATGGAGTCTGAGAATTCATTTCACCTCCAGAGTCATACAGCCAGTACTACGGCAGGGCTCTGTGTCTCCCATATGTGGCCAGGGCCAAGTACAGAGCAGGGCTCAAGAGTAGACGAATGACAAAACAAGCATGAGGGCCTGGCCACTGAGTCTAAGTCTAGCCAGCATCCCAACAAGCAGGAGAGGCTCCTGGGAAGAAGAGAGGGAGGGGCTCCTCATCCCGCCACCCCCAGGCCCCAGCACCCCACCTGCTGATGGCAGTGAGCATCTGGGAGTCTGTCACGCTGTCATCATTGCTGAGATTCCGGACCACGCCATCCATGAGTTCCAACGGGAGGTGCTGGACCACGCTGGCCAGGGCGCTAGATGGCGGCTCTTCCTCTGGAACAGAATGTTAAAACTCAGTTTTGCAGGGTGGAAGGCCCCTTCCCCTGCTATGCCATCCCCTCATGCTGCCAGCAACTCAGCTGGGCCTCTGCAAAGAGCACATGGGGAACACCCCCTCTTCCCCGACAGCAGGGGTGGCGAACCTATGGCACACATGCTGCAGTGGGCATGCAGAGCCCTCTTTGTCAGCATAGGAGCCAGATGGCCCCAGTGGCTGAGCACTGGATAACAGCTCTTTTTTCTAAACTAAAACCTAGGTATTTCAGGTTTAATTACAGTGTTGGCACCTTATGATAAATGAATTTTGGGTTGCAGTTTGGGCACCTGGTCTCTAACAGGTTCACCATCACTGTCCCATAGCATCACAGGGCGCAACTCTGTATGAACTCACTTAACAAACCTTCCCTGGCACTGCTTTGAGCCCAATCCTGTACTACACCAAGACAACGCACTAACCCTCAACCGCAGGTGTGTGGCAAGTTCTTTAGAAGTAGTAACACTGGAGCTACCCGGAAAAGGTAGGACGTGGGAGGAAGGGGATATGCCAGGTGGAATCACATGGACAGAGGCCTAGAGGTGAGAAGACACCATTTAGTTAGCAAAATTTATTGTGATGGCACACGCCTGTTATTCCAGCACTCAGGAGGCTGAGGCAGGAGATCACCATGAGTTCAAGGCCAGCCCAGGCCACACAGTGGTTCAAGTCCAGCCAGCACTACATCAGTGAGACTCTGCCTCAAACAAAAAAATCAATAAATGCACAAGTATTGTCTAGTTGTATGAGACAATTAGTCCGTATGTCCCCTCCCTGCCAGGCACATTCCTTTCATTGCCCTATATCATCCCTGCTGCTAGGTGCTCCTTATCTCTCGACCAGGCTGAAGAGTCTGACTTCTACCAAGTCCTCCAAACCAAAGAACACGCTATCCACTGTCCTACTGGGCTCCTCGGCTGCCCCGCCCCGCTTTCCAAACCGATCTCCCCACCCCCACCCCCAGCAGTGTGTTTCTCCAAGTTTTTTGAGGACGAACAGAAACTCAGGACAGGTGTGCTAAGGCCATGAAGGAACACAGTTCCCCACCTGTGCATGCCCCATGTGCCACCCCATTCTGCGGGCTCTGCCAGAGGTGTGGTCTCCGCCCCCAGCCCGGGTCACACACGCACCTGTGCAGGAGATGACTGCAAAGAGCTCCTTGAGACAGGGCAGGATGGCAGCGGGCTGCGTGCGCCACAGCTGCGCCAGGAGCCCGCTCACCTGCTGAGCCTGCTCCAGGAACTCCACCGCGCCCTCCTCGCCCTCTGAAGGGCAGCGGAAGCGACCGAGGCTACGCACCAACTGCTGGCAGAAGAGCAGACGGTGTGGGCCGTCAGGGACGCAGCGTGGATGCCGCGCCAGGAGCCGGGCTACTTGCGCGCAGGCGGAGGAACACTGATTTGAAATCAAAATCCTCTGATCAACTGCCATCGCCTTTAGGGCAAAGTCCAGGCCCTCCAGAGATTTACGGCCAAATCTCTGCTCCATAACCACACCCACAGCCATTCTCAACGTTCTCCTCAC